TGCAGTTGTCATTGTTTAGCAGGCCTGGGCTGGGCTCAAACCCACCAGGTTCGGTGTATGTGGCTGGCTCCCTACTCACTGAGTTACAGGTGCCGGGCCATATGTACATACATTTTTATGATCTCCCATCTCTTCTCCTGCCATGCCCTCCAACTCATGGGTCAGTTGCTCCCTGAGGCCTGTCATACAACTGGCCACATCCTCTTGTGTGTCCCACCGCAGCCTGAACAGGGGCTAGTACAGCACACTCAGCCACACGTCCAGGTCTTGCTCCCCTTTAGATGTAAGTGCCTTGAAAACAAACAGTATTCTCAAAAGTCTCTTGCTCAGTGGCTCAGTGTCTGACGCTGTAGTTACCAAACAAATGTTTGTTGAAAGAATAAGTTCCCTGTCTCAAAGGATCCCACTACCATCCATGTCACTGCATGAAAAGCTTTATTCTCAACACCTTTCATCCCCTTACAGCTTCCCCCAATCAACTGCCCAGCTCACTCCCAGATCAGCTGCCTTTCATCCCTCTCTGGGGACAAGAGTGACTTCATTTTTATTATATTTATTTATTTATTTGAAACAGAGTCTCACTTTGTCACCCTTGGTAGAATGCTGTGACATCATAGCTCACAGCAACCTCAAATTCTTGGGCTCAAGTGATCCTCTTGTCTCAGCCTCCCAAGTAGCTGGGACTATAAACCCCTGCCACAACACCCAGCTATTTTTAGAGACGAGGTCTTGCTCTGGCTCAGGCTGGTCTAGAACCTGTGAACTCAGGTAATCCACCTACCTCCGCCTCCCAGAGGGCTAGGATTACAGGTGTGAGCCACCACACCCAGCCTTAATTTTTCTATTTTTAGCACAGACAGGGTCTTGCTATTGCTCAGGCCTGACCTCAAGTGATTGATCCTCATGGCTTGGCCTTCCAGTGTGCTAGGATTACAGGCGTGAGCCAATGCGCCCAGCAAATTTTTTATAGCTATTCTGCTTAAGCTCAGGAGTTCAAGATCAGCCTGAGCAAGAGTAAGACCCCATTTCTAAAAATAGCTGGGCACTGTGGTTCATGCCTGTAGTCCTAGGTACTTAGGAGGTTGAGGCAAGAGGATTACTTGAGCCCAAGAGTTTGAGGTTGCTGCGAGCTATGATGTCATGACACTCTACCAGGGTGACAAACTGAGACTCTGTCTCACAAAATAAATAAATAAAAGCTATTCTGGCTGGGCACAGTGACTCATGCCTGTAATCTTAGCACTTGGGAAGCTGAGTGGGTGGATTGCCTGAGCTCACTGGTTCGAGACCAGCCACAGCCAGAACCAGAGTGAGACCTCATCTCTAAAAATAGCCAGGCACTGTGGTGGACACCTGAAGTTCTAGCTACTTGGGAGGCTGAGGCAAGAGAATCACTTTAAGACCAGGAGTTTGAGGTTTCTGTGCACTGTCACACCACAGCACTCTACCGAGGGTGACAAAGTGAGACTCTGTCTCAAAAAAAAAAAGTGGCTCAGCACCTGTGGCTCAAGCAGCTAAGGCGCCAGCCACATACCCTGAGCTGGTAGGTTCGAATCCAGCCTGGGCCACCAAAAAACAATGACAGTTACAAATAAAAAATAGCCGGGTGTTGTGGCAGGCACCTGTGGTCCCAGCTACTTGGGAGGTGGAGGCAGGAGACTTGCTTGAGCCCAGGAGTTGGAGGTTGCTG